AGGGGGTTTCCCAAATAGATTCTATTCTACCTGACAAACTCCTGGCACTCGTCCGTCCAGGAAACGACCTCGTCCTGCGAAGGATTCGAAACCTAAAACGCTGCGTGCAGGCGTGTGGCTGCAACATAACGACCCCTAGATATGCGGTTTGGCAAAATGCCCCGCAGCTGCCTTTGTTTCTGCAAGGCGCCCCCTCAAAGGAAACCCTGGCTGGCTTTTTGGCTGGCTCCTGGCTGGCTTCTGGGTTTGGCTGGCTCCTGGCTGGGTTCTGGCTGGCTGGCTGGGTTTGGCTGGCTCCTGGCTGGGTTTGGCTGGCTCCTGGCTGGCTTTTGGCTATCAAAAAAGGTTTGGTTGGCTTCTGGCTGGCTTCTGGCTGGCTTTCTGGCTGGCTTCTGGCTGGCTTTCTGGCTGGCTGGCTTCTGGCTGGCTTTCTGGTTGGCTCCTGGCTGGTTTGGCTGGCTTCTGGCTGGCTTTCTGGCTGGCTTTCTTTTTTTCCCTGTTTTTTTAAGCTCGCCTTGCAGAAACGCGGCTGCGGGGCATTTTGCAAGCATATCTAGGGGTCGTTATGTTGCAGCCACACGCCTGCACGCAGCGTTTTAGGTTTCGAATCCTTCGCAGGACGAGGTCGTTTCCTGGACGGACGAGTGCCAGGAGCCTGTCAGGTAGAATAGAATCCATTTGGGAAACCCCCTCTAAAGAGAGAGGACAGGTCCTTCAAACATGTTTACATATGTTTTCGGCGACGCCTTAGTCCAGTGGCTAAGGCGGCGGCCAAGGAGCTAACCGCTTCTTACTCCGCAGGGGGTTCGGCCGTTCGGAGAAGTTTCCTTGAAATCCTCGTGATTCGGGAGTTGGTGCGTCAAACGTACCAACCCTCACAGGCGTCTCCTTCGTGGCATGCCGGCCGTTAGAAGTTTCCGCAAGTACGTGTCGCCCCGTGACACAGTCCGTGGGTGACCTTTTTCACGACCTTCAAGCGAGGCCGGCTGTGCGGCTTCGGTCTTGGAGCAAGGCCGGCTGTGCGGCTTCGGTCTTGGAGCCCGCACCAGGCACGCACCAGGCACGCACCAGGCACGCGCCAGGCACGCGCCAGGCACGCGCCAGGGTTTTTTCGGGCAAAATCGGAAGCTTGCGCCGAAGTTGCAAACAAAAAAGCGCGCTGCAGTCCCACGGGAGGACTTACATTTTTTTCCTGGGAAGAATTCTGACCTCGGGTGGCGCGGGCTCGGCAGGCTGGTGCGCTTGCCGCTACATAGCACGTGCTCGGCTACCATGAATTGAGGGAAAATATCCCTCAACTCTGGTCCAGGTCGTGACACCTACAGCCGAATGCAGAAACTAGCGTGCGCAGTTTCATATGTCCGAGCCCTGGTCAGCGAGACACTCCCCTCGAAAATTTCGGGACAGATCGCCGAAAATTTCGCGGGCTTGGCAGGGTGGAGGCGGCGCGGCCGGGTGGCGCACACGAAGTGCCAAGCCGCCGTATGACCGTATGATCCTTATGATCCGTATGACGGCAGCGGAGGCTGAAATGCCACCCACAAAAACCTCTCTCTTTAGAGGGAGTTTCCCAAATGGATTCTATTCCACCTGGTAGGCTCCTGGCACTCGTCCGTCCAGGAAACGACCTCGTCTTGCGAAGGATTCGAAATCTAAAATGCTGCGTGCAGGCGTGTGGCTGCAACATAACGACGCGTTTCTGCAAGGCGCACCCTCAAAAGGAACCCTGGCTGGCTCGGCTTTTGGCTGGCTTTTTGGCTGGCTGGCTTTTTGGCTGGCTGGCTTTTTGGCTGGCTTCTGGCTGGCTTCTGGCTGGGTTTTAAAAGACAAGGTTTGGTTGGCTTCTGGCTGGCTTCTGGCTGGCTTTCTGGCTGGCTGGCTGGCTGGCTTTCTGGCTGGCTTTTTGGCTGGTTTGGCTGGCTTCTGGCTGGCTTCTGGCTATCAAAAAAGGAGGTTTGGTTGGCTTCTGGCTGGCTTTCTGGCTGGCTTTCTGGCTGGCTTTCTGGCTGGCTTTCTGGCTGGCTTTCTGGCTGGCTTCTCTGGCTGGCTTGGCTGGCTTGGACCTTTTTTTTTAGCTCGCCTCGCAGAAACGCAGCTACGAGGCAAATTGCAAGCATATCTAGGGGTCGTTATGTTGCAGCCACACGCCTGCGCGCAACATTTTTAGATTTCGAATCCTTCGCAGGACGAGGTCGTTTTCTGGACGGACGAGTGCCAGGAGCCTACCAGGTGGAATAGAATCCGTTTGGGAAACTCCATCTAAAGAGAGAGGATAGCACTGGTTCGCCCAACCTCGTTTGATACTGGTTCGCCCAACGACCCTTGGCTCGCCCAACGGCCCATGATACTGGCTCGCCCAACGACCCTTAGTACTGGCTCGCCCAACGACCTCGCCCAACGACCCATGATACTGGCTCGCCCAACGGCCCTTAGTACTGGCCCGCCCAACCTCGTTTGATACTTGCCAACGGATGTTCTCCAGTTTGGGGGCTTTAGCCCTTGGATCTCTTTTACGCAGACCACATCCAGTCGAAGGCTGAGAGAGCTGAGGCAGTTGGCTGGGACAGGGGTGAGACACCTGAGACACCCACTAAACCACGAACAGAAGTGTCTCAGGCGTGTCTCAAGTGTCTCAATCTTCGGCTGACTGTCTTGTTATTGCTGAGACAGGTCTGAGACACTTCTGTTCGTGGTTTAGTTGGTGTCTCAGGTGTCTCAGGTGTCTCACCCCCCAGTCTCAGGATTGTGTCAGCTGTCCCAACCTTCGGCTGACTGCCGTCACGACTGGACGGCAATCGAGGTTTGCATGGACGCGAGCGGGCCGGGCGTTTTGATGTCCTCTTTGAGTGGAGGCCTGGAAATAGTTGTCCTGTTTGAGCGAGAAGTGCAATCGGAGCTTGGCAAGTTTGATAGGACGCTGTCCGCAGAAGCAATTCGACACACTCGATCCCCGTAGTTCAATATCCCGACAGTTCCGGTCCCACGCTGTTGCGTGCCGCAGGGGATGTCCTGGTGCAGTGCGGCCGGAACAGGCTTCCCAGCGGGGCGCGCGCCTACAAGACTGTCTATTTCGAGGAGTCTCTCATGGTGGATCTCAAGAAGAAGGGGAGGCGGCGCACGGGAGGGGCGAAAGGCGCTCCGCTTGAAGAACCCAGGAGTGGCCAGCGGGCGCATGGCGGCTTCCACCTTCATGCTGCCGAGATGGATGAGAGACGTGGCCAGAGCGGGATTGCGCAACCACTACACGTTCGACCTGGCGAACTGCCACCCCTCACTTATCGCGGCCCGGCACGATTCCGCATTCAAAGAACTTCGTGGCAGAGCGGGACGCTGTGCTGGCAAAGACGCATCCCGACCGAGCTGCCGCGAAAGAGCTCTACCTGAGGCTCCTCTACGGTGGCAGCATCGAGAATTGGGTGACGGCGCACAAGATGACGACCTTTCCAATGATGGACTACGCGCTCGAGTTTCAGAAGACGGTGAGAGCTCTGGTTGCCGAGGACTGCTCGAAGAACCGCGACATACTGAAACGGCTGAGAGACGAGACTGCCCGACCCCGCGAGCTCCTCTGCTACGTTTTGAACACCGCACAGGAGAGGGAGCTCATTGACAGGGTGGTGAACGTGGTCCATAGGTTGGACGGAAACGTGCTCGCCTACGAGCGCGACGGACTCTTCTTGGAGTTCGGGGCCTGCTGCACAGCAAGATCAAGTCCGTGCTGGGAGAGTTCGCTTTCACGCTGAAGCCACAGCTCTCGGTGCGGAGCGCGCTCGAGGCGGCCGAGGCGGTGATCTCAGACACGCGCACGCTGGAACTCTGGAATGCCAAGGACAAGCGGTGGCGGGAGCACCACGCTTACGTCATGAAGGCATTCACATCCCCGCCAACGCATCATGGGATTTTCGCCCAGGTTGTGATGCGGACACCCGCGGTCCACGTCAGCATTGCACGAAATCTTCAAAATCCTCTCGGACACTGGACACAAGTGCTGGTACGACCCGGCGAAGAAGATGTGGATCATGACAGGGGACTCTGCCACCGACGTGCTCAAGTGGATCGTCCAGGTCGTGTGCCAGCGAGATCTGTCCGACTACAAAGCGGCTTGGCGCACGGCGGAGAGCGCCGTGGAAATCGAGTCACGGTGGAAGTTCTCCAACCAGTCCTTCACGAAGGCGGTGGCCGACGCATGTAGGACTCATTTCTGTGTACACAGCTCCGACTGGGAGTTGGATGACGAGGGGACCCGGCATCAAGGGCATGGTCTTGAACAGCTGGAGTGGGCACCTGTGCGGCCTGCCATGAGGATCACCCGCTCCACTGGGTGGTCGCATTCCTGGCCTCCGATCATGGAGAAGTTTGAGCAGGCGCTGGAGGAAGTCCGCCGGCAACACTCTGGAAGTCCGTGGACGGGTACGACCTGGGCGCCGACACCCACACGAAGAGCTTTGTGACCTCATCCCGGAACTGGGGGTACACAGCACCTGCACCAGCACCCCAAACTGCATGCCCCCTTGCACCCTGCCCTCAATTTCGCAAATCACTTTCCCCTGTTTATTAGAAGTTAGCACCCCTATAGCTTTCAGCTAGGGGAAAAACAAGACTCCGGACGACTTTTTCTGGAATTCGTAAGGGGGGGTAGGTGCAAGGGGTGGGTAGTTGAGAGCCCTGGGACTCTCTAGGGTTGCTTAGGGTTCCCTGACGTTGGGCAGTTTAGGATTCCTCAGGGTGCCTTCTGGTCTTGTGATTCTTTGGAGGTGTTGCGCACAGCTGGCCTTCTGGTCTTGAGCGTGGTGACGCCGCTTCACGGCGCAAGTCTCAGATGGAGCCACATGACATGTCAATTTCCGAAGTTTGGGGGAACTTAGGGGTGCAAGGACAGAGCTGGTGGCAGAATACGGTTATTTCGCAACACTTGCCTGGCTAATACTTTTGGGCGCTTGAGCAAGCAACACCTTTTGGGCATGCAAGATGTGTTCTTTTTTTGTAGTTGCCCGATGAGACTTGGAGCTGTGGTTCGGCATGGCATGTCGCTTTGAACTTTGGCTCAGAAGGTCTTGTTCATCAGCGCAGAAGCAGAAGAATGGGATACGTGATCGTCTTCGGCACGCCCACGGGCCTGGTGCTTGCCGCACTCATGGCCATTCAGCCGCACGATGGGTTCGGGGCTTGGAGCCCATGGCTCTTTTGGTTCTCCTTCATTCACGTCGTGGTGCCAGTCCTGGGCTTCTTGAGCTTTGTGGAGCTCTTTTCATTGTATTTCAGAAATGGGTGGATTTCGGCAGAAATCGTATTGCCAGTTTCCGTGATCTACGGCATTGTCATCATTCTCATCACGGTGCTCTTCGGATTCCAAGCGCCGTTGTTTGGCGCGCTGATGGGATTTGTTTGGTTTGCGGTCTCTGTTGAGGAATCGCGGAACCCGGGCGCCCCCCTGTGCCCCTCTCTGTGCCCCTCTCTGTGCATCCTCCTGGCAGGAGTCATAATGGTGGCTTGCACCATATGGTCCCCCCAGGGCCAATGCACCTTTTGTGCCCCAGAGTTTTGGGAGATCGGTGGGGTGTGTGGCAGCGTACTTCGGTGGGACTGGATCGCAACTCCCCAAGAAGATATCTCAGTCTGCGCCCCATGCATGCACTTCGACCTTGCCAACAATACCTCCACCTGCTCCTGCCACAGGGGCACAGCCCAGGTTTTTTGCCCAGGCCCTGGCATTGAATCCTGCATGTCATGCGACACAGGATTCCACTTGGTGCACGACCAATGCGTCCCCGCACAATGTGCCGAAGAGCTGCAAGGTCTTCGCCCATCGTTGCCCCCAAATCCGCCCCGCCCCCCCCCCCCCCCCCACCCTGTGCCCAGCAACACGCCTTCAACGGCACCTGTGCAGTCTCAACCCAGTGCGCCCCATTTCTGCCCAACAGCCTGCAAGGCATCGCAGTTGCCAAGGGCAATCCGCCCTTTGAGCTTGGGGTGCCAGAGATGCCCATCCTCATTCTGTGCGGAACAATAATTGCCGTTCCAATCGTCTACAGCATGGCCACCCGTACGTACTTCATGCTTGCGGTGGAGATTGCCGTGAGTGCAGGCGACTTTGCATCTGACCTGTTGAACTCCTTCGAAAACGATTACTTCAACATGTACATGTGCGTGGCGTCGTTCGCAATTACCTTTGGAGCGGGCGTAATTACCATCTTCGTGCACTATGGTGGGGGACTTGTGTTCACTCTCGTGACCACATTCAACAAGGCCGGGGCAGGACTGCCAATCCATGCCCGTTCATGGAAATGCGTAGCTTCCGTTCATTTGCTCTTTTTTGCGCAAGGCTTTCTGCCAGGCATTGGCTGCAACCCCCAGGAAACACATCGACCAAAAGGTCCAATGGTCCAAGGCTTTGGAGTAAGGGTTTTTTCATGCTGCAGGAACCGCGTGCCAAACTGACAGCGAGGCCGAAATTGAAGGTTTTTGGCGACGTGAGTCGATTTTTCTAGGTGGCGTTAGGATTCGTCAACCGGAGTAACTTTTGCTGGAGCGGTGTGTAACTTTTGCTGGAGCGGTGTGTTTTGGATCTGCTGGACTTGTGTGTATGTTGGTTGTGGTTGGGGCGCTCAGCGTTGGCGTGCCGAAATGCAGAGGCGCGCGAATATGCAATGTCGATTTTTACAGAAAACACACACGATGTGCCTGGAAGAAAACTCGGGATGTATGTCTAAGATCCGCCAAGCGGCCTTCCAATGTAAAGCTCAACATAGCAACGCGTGCTCCCATGTGGCTGCTATGTTGGGGTTGAGCGCAAGCCTTGCAATCAAAGACTTTGTGGCCATAGACCTGAGCAGCGGGAAGTTTGAACATGGATTACGCAGCTTCAATCCAAGACGGCGCAAGACACAATTTGTTTCTTTCCCCCGTCAAACAGATTTAGTCCATGCCCCTTCAGGTCGCGTGGATCACCTATGACCGACTGCGTGATCATGGAGTACATCAAGTTTTTGAAGTGCATCACTCCGCTGACAAGTTTTTGGTGAACATCTTCGCCACAGCTTTGATGGGCTTGGCGACGCCGCTCCTCTTCTTCATCGCGGGGCCGACCATTGCTGGCCTCCAGATATGCAGCGTTTTTTGCTTGGGCGCGATTCTGCACAGCTTGCGGCTTCTACTTGTGCGCGAGGTGGGCAATGACGAAACAGGACCAAACGCATTGGCCAAGCCAGACACATGACTACCGGCAGAATAGTTCATGTTCAGAAAATAGATTACCACCTTGTTGTTGTTTCTTGTTTTGTTGGGGTTCATGTTAGCCGCAACAGGTTCAAGAGGCCTACGGCGGCCTGCTGGGTGTATCGACGGAAAAGACGTCCACCAAGAAGGAGGAGCCTGTGAACCCCGCCTCATACCACCAAATCATTGTCTTGGAGCTGCTCACTGAGGCCATCCGCCACGGCGTGCGAAACAGTGCGCGCGAAACAGTGCAACCCTGTTGCGAACTGGCGGGGGTGAAAAACATGTTTTTTCGTGGGATGTTGAATGGACTTGATACCTCTTCGCAACAGTTTGAAAGGATGTGGTGAAGTGGCCAAAACTGAGGGCATGCGTTCCACACAAGCTTCATGACGCTGTTAGGCTGTTAGAAGGGTGTTGCTTTGTTCGCCGCTGACGCTGGACGCGCGGAGGCTTTGCCGAGCACTGCGTTGACGCTTCTGAACTACGTTCTGATGCGTCGGAGCAGCTTGGCAGCCATTTTTAAAAAACGCTGCATGTGCTGAGCATTGTGGGAGCTGCGCTGCGCTGCTTCGTTCCGCCAGGACCCATGATGGTGCCACGTAATAACTATTGGCCCCCACTTAGAGAGTTTGCCACAACCCCAGCTGACAAGGAGGCCACTAAACAGCTGCAATGCTAAGGTTTGCCATGCTTGTACTTGCTCCGTTTTTGTTGGCTATCATGTTTCTTCCTAACACACTCAACAAAAACAGGCCTTAGAGCGTCGACAGCAACTACTTCCAAGCTTTTGAAGAACTGTTTTCCGCCAACTAGTCGTGCACTAATCATGCACGCCACATGTCACGACTCGCCGCCAGCAGCTCAGGCTTCATGGTGGAACAGCTTTCGCCTGTGGCCATGGGTTCACTGGCCTTCTCTGGGTACTTGCTGTTCCGAGCAGGCTACAAGTATTGCTTTCATCTCATCTATTTGGGCAACGCCTTGAAGGACATCCCGTTGCCTTACAAGCCGGCAGTTGAGAGCTACGTGGAGCTCACGGCGAACGAGGCCATGGCCGCAGGCGAGGCCGCCGTAGGTGTCTCCACGGCCGCCGTTGCTCTTGTTGCCACCGCTCCTTAGGGGAGCCCCTTCAGCTTGGGAATGCGTCAAGGCCTAAAATGGCCAGCTGACGGCATACATCATTTCCAGGCATACATTGTGTCCCGCAGACACTCCTTTCTTCAGTTGTTGGATTTTTGCTGAGATGCTTGCCGAACATGGAACTGGAAAATCGCAAACGCCGCCGCCAGCTGTGCGCGTGTGTGTTGTGTGCAATGCGCAGTCATGTCGAGTCACCCGCATGCCGTAGGCGCCAGCGGTCCGCGGCCCCGCTGCAGCCATGACCGGCGACGCCTGGGCGCGAGGCCCAGCTGGAGGAAATGATGGGTGGCATGAAGGTGACACCGCAGAGCCCGGGGATCCGCCCAGGAGGCCAAAAGGCACATTGGGACACGATTGTGTTTGCTTCCATCGAACTTTTGTTTTTCGAGGATGTGCCTGGTAAGGGGTTGAACCATTTTTGGCAGCGCCCAGCCAGTGTGGTTTCTCCTCTTTTATGAAGCGCAAGGATTTCCGCATTTGAGAACAAAAGCGCTGCACTGGGGACATTGGTGTGAATCTACCATAATAAACGAGAAATAGATAAGAATAGAAAGACAAATGCAAAGATGACAAATAGAAGTGTGAAGGAGGTGGATCCTAGAGAATTCCCAGAATTAGGTAATGGTGTGTGTGTGTGTGATCCAAAAGTAATAAATACAAAATGTAGATTATAATTATAAATGTAGAAATTAAATCAAGAACATACAACATGAAAAGAAGAACAGTCCTGTGGTCCAATCGATTTCTTATGGCTACCTATCCTTATCCCATGCTTTAAAAATCTACAAATTCATTAAGACATGTAATCTCTTTGTGGAACATGAAATCATAAGATTGAAGTAGATGGATGATGTAAATCCTCGAGTTATAACATTTCATTTTATATGTTCCTTTGTCTGCAGAGCAATTGTATAGCATGGATGCCAGGTTGCATGTAATCTCCGCTGCCGTTGTGGCTTTAAACACGGATAGCGCGCTCTTGAGTTGATGGCGCGAAAAGTGCAGATTGCTTGCGAGACCCAAACTGGTAGCGGAGCTGGTTTTCCACGGAGGGAACGCGCCACCCGTACAAAAAGCATGCGGCACAGGCCCTCACAATCCTCCCTGCTGCATCTGGGAATGCCACCTGCTTGTTGTTTTTTCCGCGCCTCTCAGCATTCACGCGAGAACTGCCTAAGTTGTCGAACCTGACTCAAGTCTGGCCTGCTTCAAGTGCTGCCCAGGGCGGGCCCTGATCACAAAATTGCATAGGAACTGCTCTGGCATTAACGCTTTGCAGCCCACCCATTGCCAGGTTGTTGCCCACATCTCTGTGCGGGGTTCGTACTTTTTCCACTTCCGCTCCCCCCCTCTTCCTCCTCTGACTCGCCCACCCACCCACCCACCCACTCACCTCACCTCACCTCACCTTACCCGACCCCATCCTACCCCACTCACTGCTTGCTACAAGTGGGGCCATGCCACCAAAGGTGAGCGGCCGCCAGAGCGGGCCCAGACGCACAGCCACAGCAACAAGACCCTCGGAAGGCTTGAAGGGAAGGGAGGGGAGGGTGAGTGCGTAAGTAGGTGGGTGAGTGAGTGATTGAGTGAGTGAGTGAGTAAGTGAGTGAGTGAGCGAGCGAGCGAGTGAGTGCAGGCTCCGGTCGCCGCTCGCTGCTATTTACTCCCTTGATTTGCCAGGTCAGTCTAGTCCACAAGGGTTGATTCCCTCACGTTACTTTTGTCGATGCATTACGCCGCACAGGGGGCGAATCGCGCCGCATCTCGCCGCGAGCCTGATTTGACTTGATAGATCCCCTTTAGGGCCCCCCAAATCATTGCCAGACTTATTTTCTTGCTCCGCGCCCCGGCCTCGCGGGATGGACTCATGATGCATGAGATCTCTCTCTTTAGAGGGAGTTTCCCAAATGGATTCTATTCCACCTGGTAGGCTCCTGACACTCGTCCGTCCAGGAAACGACCTCGTCCTGCGAAGGATTCGAAACCTAAAGCGCTGCGTGCAGGCGTGTGGCTGCAACATAATGACCCCTAGATATGCGCTGCAATTTGCCTCCAGGTTGCATTTCAAGCAAGGTCAAGCTTTGCCAAAGGAAACCCCTTTTCCCTTTTTGGGGGCACAGTGTTTTCGGGACACCCAAATGTTCGAGTAGTTGTATTGATGGCCACCTCGGAAGCGTGTTAAAACATTTGGTGAGGTCACAGCTTAGGCCGGTTAACGCACCGGATGCAGAGGAATGGGCTCTTTCAATGTGGAACTGCACAAAGTAGGTGAGGTCCTGTGCTCCCCTATTTGGTATTGATCCAGCTATAGTCTCTGGACAAAAAGTGGACCAGTACTGCAGCACTGCCCTAGCAACTATGCCAGACCATAGTCTCCACAACTGTGATAGGACGGGCGTCGTTGGGCGAAAGAGGAGTATCAGTTTTGGCAAGAAAGAAAGACTGCTAAGCCTGATCCAATCAGGTCATCCGTACCTGAAGCCTTGCAGTATGTGTGCAAGATCTTGCACTCCCTGGTTTCCCAAAGATTTGAGTTCCGTAGCGGTAAAACCACACACACATTGCGATGTTCGGTTTTTGAGGTGTGAAATACCCCGTTTCCACAATTCAAGATTATTTAAGTCCACATCAAGAATTTGAGCAGGCGGAGGCACTACACGTAGTAGCTCAGAAAAAGCACCCCATGCGCTGGAGTCGTCTTGGTCTTCCTGAGAATCTCTCTCCCAGTATTGCGCCCAGAACGTAGCAAAGCTATTATGAAGTTCAATTGGGTCGAAGGATTCAACCGATTGCTTCACAATGAAGTGCTTGGCAGGATACTGTGGCGAATCAAGTCGGAAAGTGAGGATGTCATCATTAAGCGAAAGATCGCTCATTAGGTTATCGTTGATTCGGCTGTTCGCACACAAGGTGAAATTTTCAGCATTTTTTCAGCCTAGCACGAAACTTACCCTTTTCTGTGATGCGAAGCAGAGTTGCCTCGAACACACGCTCTGCGACGATCTTGCTGATCGCTGGCCTGGATGGCCCACGCGCACGTGCATATGCGGCACGGCAAAATGCTTTAGTCTCATCCATCTGCATTCTGTAGTGGCGCACTTGCTTGCGGCGTTGCAACCTGGCGATGCCATCTGCATCGCAATCAAATTTGGCAATTTGAAAAAGGATTGTCAAGAATTCTACATCTGGACAATGCTACAATGCTTTGGAATCCATGCACACTCCGACCACCGAAGAATCCATTGCTCAAAGTCAGGACTGTAGCCCGACCCCTTGCGGACGCAGTCCCATTCATTCCCTTTGACATTGAATGGCCAAATGTGGTGGCAGCGTGCCTGCATACTTTTTCAAAATGGACAAGAGAGACTGGATTCAACGAACCTGCCTTATTTTTTTATGGTATCCCATGTCTGAGCACTCACATGGCGGCTCATATTCACCCGTGCGAGCCTGCTTGGGAGGGCGAGTGGTAGGCACCGTGACCAATCTACGTCTTGTACATCTGCCTTTGAATTTTTTCGGGAGAGTGGCAACTGGAAAACGGACTGGATCTTGATCATGGCAATTCCTCACAGAATCAGCAAATGAAGATTCCACTAGTCTTGCCCATTGGCGAAGTTTGTGCTCAGCTTGGCCAGAATTTGCAAGGGGTTGGTCTGGCATCTGAAAACTTTCACGCTTAGAATCGTAGCATTGCTGGGTCGATTGTTCCGGAATTCCAAGCTCCATAAGATCCTTAGGCAATGCAAACCTAGTACGTGTTAACAACGTTGATGGTACCTTAAGCGTGATAATCAGAGGTCTGTGAATGTCAAATGGCGAATCTACTGCAACTTTAACATCTCGCAAGAAAGGTAAGATTCTGCGGTCGATGATCATAGTGTCATTACGGGAAGTATTTCTACAAGTTGTGGCAGCTCCGTATTTTTAACGTTCTGGTACCAAGAGTTCACTTCCTGAAATCCTGCGTCAAGGAATTGTTGAGCGGCTTTCATATTGATGACTTTCGTATTGAAGTCACCAGGGACACGAATTAAGTGCCATACGGTGCCAAATCATCTCCAAAAGTTGGTTGGTCTTACACTGTCCACTGGCAAACCCGTAAATCACAAAGATCCGAATACAGAGGGAACCTATTTGAACATACGTTTCCAATAGTCGGCAAGTCTCAATCCATGCAAGAGGCATTTCATCACGCGAAATACGGCACGGTAGGGCAGACAGCAAGGCAACGCCTAATGCCTTACCCCGGAATCCGTCCGTGTGACTAGAGTCTTTGTGAGGAGGGACCGGATGTCCCCAAAGGTATTTGTAACCCAATTTACGGGCTTCATGGGTAGCTTCATGTTGTACCGTAGCAGTAGCTGAAGATTGCAACAATGTCGGCAAGATTACTCAACCTTTTTGCCTTGTTGTAAACTGCGGTAGGATTGACAACTGCAATACGTGCTTCCAAGGGTCCCGGATGCGAGGCTTCCCCAATACGGGCCGTTTGGGAAAAAAGGAACCCAAAGTACCAGCTTGACCTGCTGGCACAGGGATATAGTCATAAATGCACCGAGTGCTTGTGTCTTGCGTCTGAAAGGTAACATCAATTGCAAGATTTGCGTGAGCTCATAAAAATGCACATGTCTTCTATCGAAGTCCGGAACCGTCAAGGTGGCTCGAAAGGTAGCAAAACGTGCACTGTTATGTTTTCCATTCTCAAAAGCGGATTGGTACAAGCGAATCTTGCACCCACTCGGATGATGCGAAGACAGGCCACTGTCCATGCCTGCACCACAACACACATCAGAGGCAGACGACCACATAGCGTCTACCCCTTCACTCTGGCAATGATGCCACGCACTCTGCATAAGATAGCCACCACAACGCAAGCAAGATGCACCACACATTCCATGAAATGCAAGGCCTACATTAAGAAAAACCCTGGCCAATCCAATGCAAAAACCCAATGACCCCACTTGTCGAGGTCAAATCACATCTCTGAATCTGAGATCACATCCGCACCCTGTCGCTGCTTCTTAGAGCGTTGCGGCGTGGGCGGAGCTCTGCTATGGGCAATTATCAATTCCTTCAACTCATCAAAGGAAGATTGCGTGGATGTCTGTTGCTTTGTCATGCAA